AGCCCATCCTCGGCCCCCTCTCTCTAATCCTTCTGGTATGCCTTTTTTTACCTTGTATACTCAAGTTTTCACAAACCCAAGTGGGCAAAATTTCTAACCAGACTTTTAACCAGCTTTTACTCAGAAACTACCAACTCCTAGCTACTGATGAACCCTCCACCTCTTCTCAGAAACTCTTCACCACATGGTGATGAAACATACAGGACGAGATGGATTGCCTTCCTAGATGCCTTTTCCTCTGACGCCTGGCTACTACACCCGGTTTTTACACATCAGGAATGGACTCAACAGAAATGGACTCAACAGATTATCAATTTATGGCTGCAGGGAACTTTCATCCATTTCACCCCCCAGGAAGTTCTTTTATATTCCACCATATTATGGGGTCTCCTGACCATATTCCTCCCTGACACTCTAACCCCTTCCCAAACGATGCCCCCTACCAGCAGGAAGTAGCCAGAAAGAGAAGCGTCGCCCTTTTCCTAACAAAACAAAAAGGGAAGAATATTAGGTCGCATGAGAACCCTTTTTCAGACGCACCCCATCATGGCACTGGCTACCCTTCTCTTCCACCTTCTCCTTCCCACTGGCGCGAATCGCACGCCAATCAGCACAGGCTCCCTGCTCCTGGTCCCTTAGCAACGCAATCCATCCAATCCCCGAATGTCCTGTGTCCTCAGCAAACCTGTCAGCTCTCTTCTAACCCTATAAAAGCAGATGTGCCCGCTGAATATCCTATGTCCTCAGCAAACCTGTCAGCTCTCTTCTAACCCTATAAAAGCAGATGTGCCCGCTGAATAAAAAAACCTTCTCCGGTGAGCTGCCTTGCATTTGTGTCTCATCCTTTAACTGGTGCTGAATTTTATTCCTTTCACAGGGTACCTCTTCCAAGTAAACCTTCTAAGTAGCGATAGTCCTTGTCCTTGGAGAGCATTGCTCTTATGAATTCTGTGTATAGAGGCTGGTGGCCAGCTGTTGTCTGTCCTCCTGGAGGACTGAAAAGGAGACATTGGTTAGGGTGCAGTGGATGAGATTTTGGAGTGTAGTTCTGGGAGTCTGATGGGATCTATCAAGGGTAGATGTTCCCTGGGGAAACTATGGAGTCTTTTGTTCTGAGGGGCTTTAATGCAGGTTAAGGATTTATGCCCTTGCTCAGAAGCCATGCCAGACAACTCTTCTAAGGCCCTGCCCAGATTCTAGAGTCTATGACTCAGAGTAAAAAAAAATCAGTTTGGAGAATATTTTTATTTTTCTCAGTTTGTCATTGTGTAGGTCTTTAAAAAATGCACGAATATAACTGCAATCTAGAATGGCTTTTGCTGTTTAGAAAAAAAGATCTCTCTTTGTGTTTCCCTTAAAAAAATAACATTAAGCATTGGCTCAGAGTTCAGCACTCTAGAGAGGTTTGTGCACCTTTTTTTGTTACTAGTTTAGTTCAAGTCCTTTCTTAGAGACAGGATAGATGCTCATTTGTGTGAGGCAGGGAACTTGCCAGGACTTGTTTAGGAATAAAAAAGCAGGAGGATAGGCCGTGGTAGTCATGGAAACCGGGTCTACAGAGTCTCAGCTCTGACCAACCTTGGTTAGGAGCTTGGAGACCTCAGTGAGGTGAGTAGCATTTCTTCCCGTTCTATATTCTTCCTATTCCTTTGTTCTGGGGAGGGAGGAGCTGGCGTTCAAGCTGATCTTTCTGGAGGCCTACTGTGTGCCTGGAGCTGAGCCTGAGCTGTGGGCACAAGTAATTGGTCCCTGCCCTTCAGAAACTCAGCATAATAGAGTGTTTTTACTCTTAACACATACCTACAGGACTTGGCAAATAAAATGTCTTTGTTTTATTTGGGTTGACGTTTAGCTTTTGGGGGCTGTTTTGGGGGTTGTTTTTCCTGAAGCACTTTTTACTTCTTCTGAGCACTGGCACAGTTCTTTCATCATTTGTTCTTCACCACAATCTAGCACATTAGGAAAGCAGACGTGATAAATTCTTTTCATTTGACACGTAAGGGCATGAAGATTCAGAGAGATAAAGGAATTTGGTTAAATTCATCCGGCCTTCAAAGACAGAGCTGAATGGGTAGCAGAGTTCTGGAGCTCGTGCTGGCATGGCCAGCTGGGGCAGCCCTTGGCTTTCTGCCATTGTGTCCAGGTATGACTGGAAGTCCCTAAAGTGGGAAGTTTCTAGGCAGGAGCTTACAGAGGATACCCCATACCTCTCACTCCTCTCAGTTGGCACTGTCTCTGCTGAAGCAGGGCAGCCAGGCTACACAGCAGCCTCACTACAGGCACTGCCTGAGGGAGGGCCCTATAACCTAGAGTACAGGAGGATCAAGTTTCTAATCACTGGGCACTGGGATGGTATGGCACAAAGACCAAGTAAGACAAAATTTGTTAATAGATAAAACTGTCTTTTCCAGCAGTCACAAATTGGCTGTCTGTGGGCTGAATTCTATTTATAGATATGTTTTGTTTGGCTTTTATATATTTTAAATTTGTATGCTTTTAGAAGGGGCATTTTTTTCATAGCCCATATCATTCCCTGTTTTCTTACAGATGATCCTCTTCACTCATTCTCTCTTACCTGTCAGCCGCCTGTGGGCGTTTGAGTTGGCTCCTTCCTCTCGGATCACTATTTCTTACCTGTCCTTCTGCCGGAATTCCTCTTGCACAAGTGCTTCCTAGGCTCATTTTCTCCTTTCTGTCCTTCCCAGAACTGCTCTCTTGGGGCTGTGTCTAGGCTCTTAGCTTAGCTCTCTATCCTGGCCCCTGGAAATACTTGCCATCATGAATTGGACTGCATCTGATAGACTAATTGCTATTCAGGGATTCAGAAGGAGGTGGTACTACTTTACCCAAAGGAATACATTTCTCAAACAACTTTATCGAGATATAACTTACATACCATTACATTTACTCATTTAAAGTGTAAATAATTCTCAAACATCCTAGGGAATGTTGGTAGAATACAGGGGTGGTTTCTAGACTATGATGTTGTATCGACCAGAAAAACTAAGAGAACTTGAGGGACCAAGGCCAACGTTTTACTTTGGCTAGTGAAGGGTCTTAATATAGAAATTACACACCACCATCCATCATTATCATTATCTCATTTTACAAAAGAGCATTTTGACACTACAAAGGGAGAAACTACATAATTTCAGAGAAAGGAGCTGTTATTTATATTGATGCTTTTAACTTTGTTTCAGGACCATTGGACTGAATTGCCACAATCAACAAAACGCCTCAAAGCTTGTGGCTTAAAACAACAATTACTTGTTTCTGTATAGCTCTGACTTTTAGAACCATAGTAATAGCTTACATACCCTTCATATGTCCCCAAATAAATATTTAAACCAACCAGGATGTGATGGGGTGGGAGACACAAAATTGAATACAAATACTAATGAACAAATCAAGTATTACAAATTAGTACATAACTATACTGAAGCAAGTGGAGAAGAAAAGAACTAACCTAAATGGCTTTGTGAAACACTATCTTGACTAGATATTATAAAGCTAAAAACAAAACAACTGTACATAAATGCTGTAGTGTAGTTTGGTAAATGTGTTTCTCACAGAGGTGTGGGTTAGCAATTTTGAAACTACTTTATGTGTATACTAGAAGTGGACAATAAGCAAGTTTATTGTAGGTAATAAGAGCCAGGTTTGTCACTGTCAGAGGAAGAAGTTATAAATAAGGAAACTGGGAAGACAAATGAACCTATGTTATTAGATAGGAATCTGAGGTAACAGTGTGTGTGTGTGTGTGTGTGTGTGTGCGCGCGCGCGTGCGCGCACGTACGCGCATAAATACACATACATAAGTTTCTAGCTCTGTCTACTGAGAGGGCCTGTGTGCGCGCGCGC